ATATGGATAAATGGAGAAAAGATTGAAGTTGTCAAAGACTTTATTTTGCTTGGATCCACTATCAACACTTAATGGAAGCTGCAGTCAAGAAATCATATGATCTATTGCACTAGGCAAATCTGTTCAGCACAAGGCCTCTTCAAAGTATTCATGAACAAAGATGTCAATCTGAAGACTAACATGTGCATGACTGAAGTCATGGCATTTTCAGTAACTTCATATGCATATGACAGTTGGACAATGAATAGGGGAGGCCATAACAGAACTGATGAATTTGAGTTATGCTGCTGGAGAAAAATATTAAATGTGCCACAGACTGCCAGAAAAACAAACAAACCTGTGTTGGAAGAAATACAACTAGAATGCTCCTTAGAAGCCAGGTTGGTGAGACTTCGTCTCATATACCTTGGATATATATTGTCAGGAAGGACCAGACCCTAGAGAAAGACATCATGCTTGGTAAAGTGGAAGGCCACAGAAAAAGAGAAAGATTCCCAATGAGATGAATTGTCACAGTGGCAACAACAGTGTGCTGAAGTGTAACAATTGTGAGGTTGACACAGGACTGAGCAGTGTTTCTTTCTGTGGTGCATATGAGTCAGAACCAACTCGATGGCACCTAAAACAAAGCACATGGGCTATAGGAACTCTACCAGCCCAAATCACCATGCATCTAATTTCCCCAAACTCCTATATTCTAACCTTAACATTAGATTGTTGTTATTGTTGTTATGTGCCTTGGAGTCAGTTCCGACTCATAGCGACCCTGTATAGGGTTTCCCAGGCTGTAAATCTTTACGGGAGCAGAAAGCCTCATCTTTCTCCCGCGGGACAGCTGGTAATTTCGAACTGCTGACCTTGCGGTTTGCAGCCCAATTTGTAACCACTACGCTACCAGAGCTCCTTAACATTATATTACACAATGCATTATTATCATACTTGCTAGTGGGAACTTAAGTGAATGCTAGGAATCCTTTTACATGGACTTTGGGTCAAAGTTATTCCGCTGATATATTTTCCTAACAAGTTTTGACATGCATTCTTCATAAAAACAGAAACTATTCAGCAGATCAATATTCATTCTTTTTCTCTTCCTCTTTATGTATGTCTTCTTTGGAATATTTACTCCCTATTGTAGCGTTATTCATCTAGAAGATGAAAAGTAATAATTTTCTATATAAACTAGCTTCTTTTCTAGTCCTGTATCTCTACCTTTTTTCTAGACATTTTTACTTAACACCTTAAATAATATAGCTAAAGCCCAATGACTGTCTCTCTTTTGTTTTCAGACAATGATCCTTCCCGTTACCACATGGGAAATTACCTCCACATTCTGATGTTTTTCAGTTAACACTTTGTAAATTCTTTTGCATAGGAACCTTTCTTTATAACCCATTTTCTTGGTGTTATCCCCCACAAGCCTAATAATACATTTTTTACTTTTTTCTCTACTCCTAGAACCATCTCAACCATAATCCATCGTGGTGCACAGATTTACTACTAAACATGGATCTTCTAGATAGAGTAGTCCATTTTGTGACGCATTGTAAGTACTAGCTTCTATGCCTGTGATTATGGTCCCATTTTGCAATTAGTTGGCTGTGACATTAATAAGGCAGTATTAGGGTGGGATGTACCTTGACTTCTTGTCTTACTAGACTATGTTACTCAACTCACCATGCTTAATTTCCTTGAGGTTGTGCTCTGTATCCAATATTCAAGGAAGACTCTAGCCAAGTTCCCACTCCAGCTCTGAATCCTGCTTTTGGGTCATCTTTGTCTGACCTCTGGATCTTGGGATTTGAACCTGCAGCCTATTGTCTGATATATCAATTTGGGTTTCTCAGCCCCTGAAGCCTTGAGAGTTGGGAGAGACCTCCAGACCGAAAATTGACTCACCAATCGGAACTTGCCAGCAAACACAACTGTGTAAATTATTTTCTTGAAAGTTCATGAGTTCTATGAGACATTGGAGAGAATTATGGAATGCAAAGATGGGCAGGGCAATACTGAAATGAGGAGGAGCAGTTGATGCCTGAGATTATGGAAGGGTTTAGCAGAGTGGAAATTTGGACATTTGGTACTTCTTTAAACATTACTGACAGAAACTGGCCTTGTGCTAATTCTTCTGTTGTTAATGCTGTTAGGTGCCATGGAGTTTGTGTACAAAAACAACTGCCATCTTCACAATTGTTATGTTTGAGTCCATTGTTGCTGCTCCATGTCAATCCATCTCTTGGTGGGTCTTCCTCTTTTACACAGACCTTCCATTTTACCTATAATAATGTTCTTGGCCAGGGACTCGTTTTTCATGATAAAATGTCCACAGTCTGAGAGATGAAGTCTAGTCATCCTGGCTTCTAAGGAGCATTCTGGCTGTAAATCTTCTGAGACAAATTTCTTTGTTTTTCTAGCAGTCCATGGTACTTTCAGTATTCTTCTCAAGTATCATATTTCAAATGCATTGATTCTTCTCCATTCTTCTTCATTGTCCAACTTTTACATGCATATGGGATGAATGAAAATACCATGACTTGAGTTAGGCCCACTTTAGTCCTAAAAGTGACATCTTTACTCTTTTAACACTTTAAAGAGGTTTTTTTTTACAGCAAATTTGCCTATTTAAATACATTTTCTGATTTGTTGAGTTCTGCTTCCATGAGCATTGATTTTAGATCCTACCAACATGAAGTATTTGAAAACTTCAATCTTTTCTCCATTTAACATGTTATTTATTGGTCTAGCTGTGAGGATTGAGTTATTTAGTAGTCCAGTTGTGAGAATTTTCGTTTTCTTTACATTGAGGTGTAATCCATCCTGAAGGTTGTAGTCTTTGATCTTCATCAATAAATACTTTAATTCCTTTTTGCTTTCAGGAAGCAAGGTTGTACAATCTTCAGATTACAGATTACTGGTGAGTCTTTCTCCAATCCTGAGGTCATGTGCATCTTTATATAATCCAATTTCTCTGATTATTTGCTTAGCATAAAGATTGAATAAGTACAGTGAAAGGATACAACCTTGGAACACACCTTTTCTGATTATGAACCATTCACTTCTATTATAACAACTGTCTATTGGCATTGATCCCTAATGAGCAGAATTAAATGTTCTGCAATTCTCATTTTTCACAGTGTTATCCTAGTTTGCCAGGATCCACACCGTCGAATGTTTTTGAATAGTCAATATAGCACAAGTAAACATCTTTCTAGTGTTTTCTACTTTTAGCCCAGTGCTGATTCTTCCAAAAGAAATTATTTATGCTCCCATCCTGCAAATCAATTTTATTGTACCCATCAAGGTTGCTTTAATAACAATAAAACCCTTTCCACTGCTATACACTCCCACTAAGCTGGCAAAGCCCCAAAGGAGACATCTAATAGCTTTGCTTAGTAGTAGTTTTAGTTATAAACCATTTGCTGGGATCCATTTTATGCTCGTCATCACAAACTGTCCCCACTCTTCCTACCCTTTGAACTTAGTATTTATTTTCTTAATCTAAAAGGGAGATCTTTTTTAGATTTTTGGCATTTATTTAATGTCACTAATACTGAATAAGCATCTCAATCAGCCCTGACTCACAACCATGTACCTAAAGGGCAGATGCTGTTTATATATTTATCTTCTAGCTTACAAGTCCCTTTAATAAACCTCATTATTTTCTTGTTCATATACAACTAAATGCTGCCTATTGCCAATTGTTGTTGTTAAGTGCCATTGAGTTAATTCTGGCTCATAGCAATCCTGAATAGAGTTTCAGAGGAGCGACTGGTGGTTTTGAAATACTGACCTTGTGGGCAGCAGTTCAATACTTATGCTACAGTTCCAAAATAAGAACCTGCCTATTAAGTCACATTTAAATTCTTATTTGGTCATTTAAGGCTTTCTAGAGTCAGGCCTAATATATTTTTCTAACATTTACCACAGAAATGAAAATAATACAAAACTTCTACTCCAGTAAAACTAGATTATATAGTTGTTGCTGATAAGTGCAATTGAGTAGTTTCCAATTCATTGTGATCCTGTATAGTCTTTCCAAAGAGCGGCTAGTAGGTTTGAACAACCAACCTTGTGGTTAGCAGGCCAGTGTTTATCCTACAGCACCATACCAGGACTCAATGCAATTATTCCAAATTCTATGTCAGCCACCATATAATTTAGCTGACGTGTGTAGCAGCTGTCAATTGAGGAAGACCAGGTGAGAATGAATACATAGTACTGCCACTAAAACACATTACTAATGCCCACATAATCTGTTTTATCAAGCCATTTCCCTTTACTGGAATGTTCTCTGTTCCCCAGTACACAGATCTTGTCTTTCCTTTTTAGGCTAGTTCACATCTTACATACTTTGTAATCTCTTTTATTCAAAACAAAATGTTCTTAAATTTAGAAAAACACTGTCTATCATACATTTGATACTTTATTTATTAGTGACAAAGTCATACTAAAGTGACATTCAATTTACATGCTTAAATTATAGTTTTGCTAACTAGAATGTAAGTAATTTGAAGCCATGGAAAATGTTTTGTTCAACTCTATGTCACAATTTTAAGGCCATGCTATCAGAATTGTAAATGTACTAAATATATTTTTCAATGGAGCAAAATTTTTCCATAGGTTTTTAAAAAAATTCTTATTTTATTTAAGCTTTTAGGAATTCTGGCACATATAAAACTAGGTAATATGGACAATTTCAGGCTTTCTTTTGAGTTGCTCTCTTATTCCATGTATTTTCTCATGTTTCTCAAATATATTAGTGCACAGAATACAGGAACCATGTTGTTATCTACTTCCTTTTTGCTGTTACCATTCAACAATACTTTCTGTAATAGTACACACTGCAAATGAATGGATTTATAGAAAAAATACAATGCAACTTAGACTTTCTAAGAATTTACATCACAAAATAATAAGACTAGATAAAAAAAATAAAAGATCAAGTAAATTGGTAGCTTCCTAGGAATAAATGCATTGCATAAGATATGAAATCAACTTACACAACATCGTTCAGCTCTATCCTGGTATCTGGAGATGGGTTAATCAGGATATAGGAGAGGGTACTTTGATGATCATTCATTTCATCTAGAAGATAAATAAGTCCCAAGTGTGTTATATTTACAGAAAATTTCAGGAATTATTATAGAGTAGTTTATGTGCAAACCATATAGCTATCAACTAGAAATTGCTATAGTCTAGCCTATAGCATAACTATGTACGTACATTTGGCTATTTTCAAATTACTATCATTGGGAATACATGACAAGTACTAATTTGGGGCTCCAATAGAAGATGAAAAGAAAGCATCTAATTCTGCTTAGAGCTTTATTTTCTACCTCTTTATCCATTGTACTGACAAAGTATTTCTATGAAAGAAAGAACTGGATAAGATACTTGCTTAATTGATTTTTCCTTATGTATTAGAAAAATAACTGCGGTTACAGAAGCTCTGGCAGAATAGTGGATTATATGTTGGGTAACTTACTGCAAGGTCAGCAGTTCAAGTCCACCAGGTGCTTCATGCGAAAACGATGAGACTTTACTCTGTAAAGATTTACAACCTCAGAAATCCTCTACAGGGTAGCTATGAGTTGGAACCGACTCAATGACACATAGCTAGCCAGTCAGCCATAATCATTGATTCCAGGAAAGAATATTTATAATGAATGTTAAAACTTATCCAATTACACTATATTTAGGAAGCACAGCATAAATGTATCTAGAAAGCACAAAAGCCCCCAAAATGTTTGACTTCATAATGTGATATATCTGATGTAAGCTATCCTATTATTTTTGCAAGAAGACCTGGTGGTGCAATTGTTAAAGAGCTCTGCAGTTAACCAGAAGATCTGTGGTTCAAAGCTACCAGCTGTTCCACAGGAGAAAGATGTGATAATCTGCTTTAGTAAAGATTTCAGCCTTAGAAACCCTTTAGGCATTTCTACTCTATTCTATAGGGTCACTATGAACTGGTGGAATACAAAGAAGCTTACGCAAGGCAATTTAATCAAATAATTTTTAGAGTTCAGTACCACTGAATCATTTGTTTTCCTTAAAAACAATGTATGCTTCTGAAATACTCAGTTAAGGCTATACCCTTCTTAATTTGTGAAGTCCTTCAGATGACTTATCCTCAGACTACAAGATTTGCAGGCTACAAGATTGTGAATTTTATAGGATGTTCAAAACAAAAGCAAAAAATCTTTGTTGTTGTTAAGTGCCGTGAGTAAGTTCAAACAGCCTTTAGGGGCCTCACTTGCTTAAATCCCAAAGACTCATCAGCTGCTCTTTAGAAACTCTATTACAGGATCACTATGAGTCTGAACTGACTCAATAGCACTTAACAACAACAACAAGAAAGCTATGTTGACACATAATTCAGTAATCACAGTTCTTTTGGAAAGTAAGTTTGGGGCTGGGTGAATGTTCTTAAATTTGTGTTTAAAGTGAATTACGACATTGTTATGGAAATAATATCCATGTAAGTAATGGATCCATACAAATAATGCATTCATACACATGGAAATGATAAAATTAAGTAAAACAGTTCTGACACAGTGTTATTTGCATATAAAGCATCTCGTAGTATCCGAGATTCCTGGTGTAGCACTGTAGGATAGACATGGAGTGTTAACCACAAGGTCAGCATTTCAGACTCCCCAGCCACTCCTTGGAAACCCTATACAGGGTCACTATGAGTTGGAGCCACTTAAACAATGACAACAACATCCTTTGAGCCACTTCATTTGCAGACATTATTGGCTCCTGAAGAAAGAACTAAACTTGGCAAATTTCTCCAAAATCTAAAAACATATTTCTTATCAATTTTCACATACATATAAGACCATTGAAAATACCATGGTTTAGATCAGGCACACCTTAGTCCTCAAATTGACATCTTTGCCTTTGAACACTTTAAAGAGGTCTTGTACAGCAGATTTGTTTAACCAATAAAAACAAAGTCTTTGACAACACCAATCTTGGTTAGAATTATTACGTGATTAATAAACCAAAGCAAACCCACGGTTGGTAAATTATTTCCAATGTATAGTGACAAATTATAACTGACCTAGAAGGTTTCTAAGGCTGTAAGTCCTAACAGAAGGCAACTGTAGGTGGTGAGTGCCTAAGAATACTCCATATACAATCAATTAAATATAATAAACATAGAACAATGGCTTGAAGACAACAGGCAATTTCATTTCACATGAAGCAAGACAGAGATGTTCAAACAAGTGATCAAGATGTAGCCAGAAAATGTTTTTGAGGAAAATGGTAAATAAATAAATAATTCAAAAGAATGATACTTCGGTACATTTAATGTATTGGAAGAAAGAACAAGAAAGATATAGATGAAAGCAAGGATAAAACAGAACAAAGTTGCAAAGAATTCAGGCAAAGACTACAAGAAAAAATGGACAAAATAAATGAAAAAAATTAGAAACAATACAAGATCTTCAAGTAAAATATATAAGATTTATGCTGATTTCAGAAATGGATAATAAGTCAAAATGGCAAATGAGTAGATTTTAATCAGTGGAAAGCTGAATTAGTGAGTTTGACGATTTATCTCTCAATATTAGTCTGCTAAAGAACAATCACAAAGAATAAAAGGGAGAAAAACATCTGAAGAAAGTCTAAGATTTATGTGGCACACCATCTAGAGGAATATCTTATACAGGATCAGAATTCCAGAACAAGAACTCACAAGAAAAAAAAAAAAAAAAGAGAAAACTGTCAAGGAGTTGTTAAAAGAAAACTTCCCTAACATCACGAAAGATGAGAAAATAAGCATTTAAGAAGCTGAGGGAACTTGAAACAACCCCAAAGCAAATAAACAAGACGTTCTTCGGAAACCCTATACAGAGTCACTATGAATCAGAACTAACTTGACAGCACTTAACAACAACAACAACAATAAAAACCAAAATTTTCAAAACCAAATACAAGAATCTTGAGAATAGCTTGGGAAAAATGAAAATTTACCTACTAATAATATCCAGTAAATCTAAGTTCTGATTTCTCTGAAGAAACCATGTAGATAAGGAGGTAATAGTATAACATATATAAAACTCTGAAAGGAAAACAAAAATTGCTAACCAAGAATCATATGTTCTTGTTGTTGAGTGGTATCAAGTCTGTTTCAACTCACAGCAGCTTTCTAATGGGTATCTGAGAAAATCTGGTGGGTTTGAACAGCCAACTTTGAGGTTAGCAGTCCAGTGTTTATCCTACCAGGATAAATACCACACCAGGACTCCAAGAATCATATAGGCAGTAAAGCTGAACCTCAAATATGACAGTAAAATTAGGATATTTCCAGTTAAACAGATATTAAAGATATTTGTAATAACCAAATCAATTTTACAAAAAATACTAAAGGGAATTCTTGGGACACAGAACCAAAAACAACAGACAACAGTCTGAGATTTGCATGCGTAACACCACCACCCACAAGTCATTCCAGTTACATTATTATTGTTAGGTGCCATCGAGTTGGTACCAACTCATAGAGACCCTATGCACAACAGAACAAAACACTGCCCAGTCCTGGGCCAACCTCACAATTGTTGCCACATTTGAGCCCATTGATGCTGACGCTTTGCCAATTCATCTCGTTGGGGTCTTCCTCTTTTTCTCTGATCCTCCCCTTTACCAAACATGATATCCTTCTCAAGAGACTGGTCCCTCCTGACAACATGTCCGAAGCATGAGACATGAAGTTTGGCCATCCTGGCCTCCAAGGAGCTCTCTGGCTGCACTTCTTCCAACACAGATCTGTTTATTCTTTTGGCAGCCCATGGCACTTTCCAGCTATATAAGTATCCAAGGTAAAATAAAACTAAAAGTCTGAGAATAGGAAACCAGAGATAGCAGCTTATAATGAAGACAGCTACAAAGCAAAAAGAGGAAATAATATAGCTACAGAACTTCTAAATGGCAAGGAAGTCAAATTGGTTTCAAAATAAACTAGACTGTTATAAACTGGGAAAGAAATGAACAGATTACAGAATAAGCATGACAAAAATTAATAAAACTTCTCACCAAAAAAATAAATAAATAAAATAAAACTGAAAACAACAGCAATTAATAAAATGTCAAAAAAAAAATCCCACAAGCAATATGAACTCAGCACAGAAAATTATGTGGAACAATGAAACCAGCAGTCCCATAAAAAAACACAAATAACAAAATTACAGCAGTCAATTCATAACTATTGATAGTTATACCGTATGTAAATGGATTAAATGCACCAGTCAAGAGACAGAGATGGATAAGAAAAGAGGATCCTTTGATACACTTTCTACAAGAAACACACCTACGTAGAAAGGCAAAAATAGACTAAAAATCAAAAGATGGAAAAATATCAGGGTAACAACAATAAAAAAGGAGGAGTGGCAATATTAATTTCTGATAAAATATACTTTAAGTTAAAAACAACATAAGAGACAAGGAATGGTATTATATAATGATTAAAAGTCTATTAAACATGCAGACATAAGTATAATAAATATAATGTGTTCCCAGTGAAGGAGCCTCAAAATACATAATCAAAGTCAAACAGAATTAGCAAAAGACAGAGAACTCTACAGTAACTGTTGTTGTTAAGTGTCGTCGAGTTGGTTCCAGCTCATAATGGGTCTGTATAGTGTTTCTGAGGAGCGGTTGGTGAGTTTGAACTACCAACCTTATGATTCAAACTGACCTTGTGGTCCAGTGCTTATCCTACAGAGCCACACCAGGACCCCAAACATACCAACAACTGTGAGGATGGCGCAGAACTAGGCAGGGTTTTGTTCTGTTGTGCATAGAGTCCCTATGTGTCAGAACAACTAGAGGACACCTAACAACAATAGAAACAACAAATTACCTGTTAATACACCACTTTGGTACCTCTCTGATGAATGAACTTTGGACCTTCAAGTTTAATTCACAGATGTTAAGTAGTCATTGCAGAACAGAAATCCAAGTGGGAGAGGATGATGGCTTGGAATAAATGGGATTCATGGAGTTAGCGGGAATATGGTACTGTAGGAAAAGCACTGGACTGCTAGCCACAAGGTCGGCAGTTCAAACCCACTAGC